ATCTGGATGGTTTGAGTGACAGGGTAGGGGCCCTGGAAACTTGCTCTGCCCGGTTGCCTGTCATTGCTGGTTCGCTGTTGCCCTCTGCTGGCAAAACTGTTGTCATCCCAGGAAACCACAAATCTGGAGTTCCTAGATTCCCTTTTACACTGGGGTGTCCAGGCCTCATCGAATTGGGAAATGACACTAGTGCTGAGGAACAACAGTGGCAACAGGAGATATGGCAAAGCCTCTGCCAGGAGACAGTGAGTCTCACAACTAAGAGGATGAATCTTACGGTTTTCGTCTTTCATGCTCTGCTCACTTGCTATGATTTCTCTCTCGGCTTTGTGTTGGGCATAATGAGGGGACCCAGACAGGACTAAAACACCTCTCTATACTGGGGGGGGGGTCTCTCATCAAATGTGGGGAACAAGAGGATATTCTGGAGGTAAACATCACTGTAATATAGAGCAGATTGTGACCTGGGCCACAGCTGAGGCTCTGATAAAAAGCTTGTGTGTCTTTTTTTTTTTTTTTTTTTAACATTTTATTTATTTATTTGACACACACAGAGAGAGATTACAAGTAGTCAGAGAGGCAGGCAGAGGGGGAGGGGGAAGCAGACTCCCTGCTGAGCAGAGAGCCTAATGTGGGGCTCGATCCCAGGACCCTGAGATCATGACCTGAGCCAGAGGCAGAGGCTTAACCCACTGAGCCACCCAGGCGCCCCAAGCTTGTGTGTCTTTAATGCAAAGAAAGATGACATCTGCTTTGCAAGAGGTAGGCTGGAGACTGGTGAGGGTGAGTCCCCATGAAATAGATAGCATTTAAACTGGGGACTTGAAGGATAGGTGAGATTTTTTTTTTTTTAATATTTTTTATCATGAAAGTAGAATATATTCATTGCCAAAAGAAATTAAATACTGGCTAATAAAAACATGAAAAACCCCAGCACTCAGAAATAATCAGTTACCGTTTTGATCTATGGATTTGTTGTTACAAAGTTGGAAGTATACTGAAAGTAACATTTTGTATCCTCTCTTTCTGATTTTTACACTGCATGAACATTTTCCCAATGTTACTGATTAGTTTTTGAAACTGTGCTATTTTATGGGGGAGTATTTCAATGTGTAAACGTGAGGATAGGATTCCCAAACAGCATGAGCCAAGGCATATGGCTTGTGCAGCACAAGGATTGTTCATTCTTTACTAATTCATTTCAGAAATATTTTTTGGACACGTGCAACTTCGGAGACACGATGTACAGAACTAACTCTGTCTTTGTTGTGTTCATAGTATAGGAGAGGAGGCAGATGTTAATTAGGTCATCATAGAAATAACTAAAATTGCATCTGGGGTAAGCACTATGAAGGAGAAGTGTGCGGCATTATGTAAGTGTACATTAGAAAGAGCAGAAGTAGTCACAGAGGTCTGGGAAGGCTTGCCTGAGTAAGGAGTAATTGAGCTCAGCACTATAGAAGTTAAGCAAAGAATCCCAGGAGGAGGCAACAAATGCAAAGTCACTTTAGTAGGAGTAGGGATGTTGAAGACAAGAAACTGAAAGATGGAGAAGAATGAGTGCAGAGACTTGACCTGGGATGAGGCTGAAGAAGTAAGTAGGGCTTGACTGTGGAGAGCATTTCAGACCTGGTGAAGAACTTTTGTCATTTCTTATGAGAACTCTGGAGAATTATTGAAATGTCTGAAGCCAAAGTGGAGAGGTGAGGGCCAAATTTGTTTTTTTCAAAAGGTCTCCCTCAAAAGGTGGAGAGATTAGGAGGGAACAAGAGTAGATGTAGGCAAAATGGGTCTCTGTGACTAGTAGCCAGAACTAGTAAGAGGATGACTGTGATAGTCTAAGCAGGAGATGAGGGAAGACTTGATCCAGTCAAGAGGAGGTGAAGGTCAAGATGGAGATAAGTGGGTGGCATTGAGATATATTTTGGGCATCAAATTTTTAGGACCTTGCAGATAAGGTAAGGAAAGGGAGAGTGCAGAATGACTCCCTTCTATGTCTCTGGCTTGCATAACTGGAAGGAGGGTTTTTGCCATGATTGGGAACACTGGAAGAGGACAACGTTTGAAAGGGACAGTAATGTGTGTTTTCTCAGGAGAAATGTTTCCCAGAGAGAACAGTCCCAGGAGTGGTATATATCATCACGTCAGCTTCTTCCAGAAGTGGGTTTTACCACATTCTCATACCACCTGAAGGACCCTCTCTTTGGAGGTGAATGGTACTGGGAAGAAAGCCAATACCATGGCTGGGTTTTATGTCTCTACTTTGTCTTTAAAATGAAGGTAATAACATCCAGTCCAAAGAGTTGTTGTGAGGATTAATAGGACCATCAATATCCAAGGACTTTGTAAATCTCCACAATATTTCACTGTTACTCCTATCCCTATATTTGTGGTGGATACTGTTGCCAACCCAACTTCAATTATGTTAATATTGGGGATATGAAATTCAATGTTTTTTCCATGAGTTATTTGGGGAAAAAGGTGCAATTGAAGTCTAAATAAATACATATACCACCCAGGAGCTAGAGATGTGGCCCCAAACTATTTATAAATCTGTGTGTTTACTTGAATTCAGACTTTCCCGACATGTAAATTATGCAAAATCTGTGTCACAGCAGAGCACTCTGTGTTCCTAAAAAGAATTCTCTTTTTTCCCAAATCCTTTACCTTTTAAAATAAATCTCATTATGGAGTGCTGACATTTTCAGTAAAACCATTCAACCAAAAGCTGTGGTTTTTTTAGACTAAAACCAAGTCTGGTTTATTAGGCAGCAGCTTTTAACTTGCTGCTAAGTAGATGCAAGCTATTTAGAGAAATTTATGTAGATATCCGATAAGACATTTCAGAGTCCCCAGTCTCTTTCTGATTAAGACTGAGAGTGTTAAACAGATCATCTAGAATTCCTTCCTTTTCCCAGTGCGTCAGGAGTTGAGTATGGCAGTGTCGCTGAAGTGGAGGGACACTGGTGGAACAGGATTTAAACCAAATCTCTCAGACTCTGCACCACTGATCCTATTACCATATTCTAGTTGACTGACTTCAGATGTGACTTTCTTCAAAGGGTTGTGGGGGATGTAGAGCTAATACTCTTACCACATTATGGCTACCTTACAACAGGACCTCTATCAATGATCCCAGTCTTCTTGTTTTTCCTTTTTCTGTTTTTCTCTCTTTTCTTCTCTTCTATCTTTTTTCCTCTTTTTTACATGTCTCCTTTTCCTTGCACTGATTTAATTCTTGGCTTGTCTTGCCTGTGTGGGTTTAGGTTATGCTGTACTGAGGAAAGGCATATATCTGGGTTGCCCAAAATTCCTTAGTGACTGAGGTCCCTGCCCCTGATCATAACAGCTGATTTTATAGAGCACTGATTGAGAATCATTTCCCCTAATCCTCTCCCCGAACTTAGGAGATGAGTGCTAGTATTGTCTCCATTTCGCAGGTAAGGAGCAGGAGCCAAAGACAGGTTAAATATCCAATCCTACAGAGTCAGTAAGTTATAGAGCTGGAAGTTTTAGCTCTGCCCTCATCTAGCCCAACAACCTTCAAAATTTTTGATTAGCACTCATTTATTCACTCAACAGGAATTTATTTACTGTAGGCTATTTGACAGGAGCTGGATAGAGGCTTTACCTTTTTGAAACACACACACACAAACACACATACACACACACAATACTGAGCTCACGCTGACTGCCACTGTCTTCCCTCTGTATTTTGGCATTCATTCTGATCAGTCAGTGTCCACATGGTACTTACTTCTAAACGTTTTACTTATCATTCCTCCTTACAAAAAGCAATGGGTCCAAAAAAGGAGGAGGATCAGGATGCTTTGAGAGAACATAATGGTGTACCATGTTTATATAGAAACTGAAGAAATCCTCTTGCATGAGGCATTTGACCTATAAATCATAGGACAGTTAGGGTTCTTAACCTGTTATGAGATAATGCTACAGTCCGTGGGATTTGCTCCTAACTTGGATTCGCTCCTAAGATCAAAGAGATGCTATTTAATAAAATAAATAGGGGAGTGATGTCATTCTGTTTGTATTTTAAAAATAGCACTGTAGTTACTGTGTGAGAATGGATGGGAGTAGGGTGTCCTTTCTGTCTTTACATTAGACTGATTTTGTGTAGTGAGGATTCAGGTATGAATCAGTCACAGATCACCCTTTTCAAGTCACCTAAGGAAAACAAAACATGTACTGAAATAAATCTAATAAAAATCGTGAGTGTTTTATCCTAAAGACTATAGTAGATAGACAGCAAAATTGCTGTGAGTGAGAGGATTTCCAGACCATGTGCATTTTCTTCTAACCAGACAGCATTGCTTGGATTTCTTGTTTTCTCTGGTGGAGATTCTGTTGGAGTCAGAATTTTCCATTCATGCCCTGAAAGGCTCTCAAAGCCAAAGCAAATCAATTTAGTAAACACTTATCTAGTGTCTACTTTGTCCTTGGCTCAAAAGAACACCAGTTCACTTGTTCAGGGATATGATAGGATGAGCAGATGGCTTGTGGGGGAGGGAGTCAGTGCACTTGTCTCCATTTTATCTTCACTCAGCAACATAACTTTTGGGGATTAGAAAAAACTAGTGTGTGGTGAGTAAAGTTTGTAGTAAGAACTGAGTTGGGGAAAAAAAACAATGTTTTGGTGTCCTTGGAGGAAGATGAAGGTTTTCTAGCAAACAGGGAAGATATGAAGGAACATGAATCAGGTGTCTGTCAACACACTACAAGCTTGTCATTCCCCTCATGGATCTCTTCATGGGTATTCATCTCTGAAATCATATTCTTTCTGCAATCTTCCATCTTCCCTCCTCCCTTGGTCATGGAACTGGACTGAGAGAGAGAGGATGGCATTAGGTATCCCTCAACCCCTCTTCTGAGGTGATCAAATCTCCCTATTTTCCGTGTTAGTAGAGGCATTTCAGGGAGTGCCATTATCTTTAACTTGGAAAGACCATGCCATTAACTCGTATCCTCTGTGATGATTCCTACAGGATAGACCACTGGAACAATGAGAAGGAGAGGATTTTGCTGGTCACAGACAAGACTCTCTTGATCTGTAAATATGACTTTATCATGCTCAGCTGTGTGCAGTTGCAGCGGATTCCCCTGAGCTCCGTCTACAGAATCTGCCTGGGCAAGTTTGTCTTTCCTGGGATGTCACTGGACAAGTGAGTGTGATGTCTTAGATTTGGAATAGTGGTTCAGTGGGGGTGTGTCACATAGGGAGTCAGTCGCAAAGTTCAGGCTAGTATGGTAAGCTTCGTGAATCCATAGGGAAAAAGTGAAGCTCTACAGTTGATTTCATCAATTATTGAGTTTCTACTGTGTGTCAAACACCAGGGACACATCTTTAAGTAAATTCGTACTTTAATATGAGAGCATGAGAAACAAATGGTTGAATGTAAAAGTGGATGGAGCTGTGGGAGCATGGAGGAAAGATTCTCAACCTAAGTTGTGTGGTAGAGAATCAGAAAGGTTTTTCTGGAGAAGTATTTGAGCCTACATTTGATGTTGGGTGGAATTAGCCAAAGAAGGACAACAAAAATTTAACATTCCAAGCTGAAGGAACAGCACAGCCAAAGGAGTAGAGGTGGGAAGAGTGTAATGCCTTTGGAAATTGAAATTATTCAGTAAGTTGAGCAGACAGAATCTATGATGGTTAATAGCTCTTCTTCTTCTTCTTTTTTTTTTTTTTTTAAGATTTTATTTATTTATTTATTTGACAGACAGAGATCACAAGCAGGCAGAGAGGCAGGCAGAGAGAGATGGAGAACCAGGCTCCCTGCTGAGCAGAGAGCCCAATGTGGGGCTGGATCCCAGGACCCTGAGATCATGACCTGAGCCAAAGGCAGAGGCTTTAACCCACTAAGCCACCCAGGCACCCTTAATAGCTCTTCTTAAAAGAAGTCTCTTTGAGCTCTGCCCTGTCAGCTTAGTGGAGATGACATCAACCATCTCAGTGATGTGTTGGCATTCACCATGATACCTGGTGAGATCTGTAGAAAGTTGCTGTACTAAGCTCTTGTTATGGTTTTGGAAGGAACTGTTTTTTCTATATATCTTATATCTAAGCCAGAAGGACAGCAGTCTTCCTCTGAGTCTTTGAATGTGAGCTGCTCCCCTTGAATGGTGAGCTCCTTGAGGGCAAGTACATTGTTTTTGTTTGTTTGTTTAGTTTTGTTTCTCTAAACACCTGGCCTTGGGCCTAACAAATAGTAAGAGCAGAGAAAAAAAAGTGCAATTCAGTCAAGTGGTTGGTTTCTTTACAAAAAGCACACCATATCAAAGATCTGTTTTTTAATTTACTTTTCATAGATGTAAGATGCAACAAATTGATTTTTTGCTAAGTTTTCAAACTTTTGGATTTTTCAATAATATAAGCAGTTGCAAATATATTTTTAAACATCTTAAAATGTTTATTTTCAGGAAATCTCTCCCTCACCCCAGACTCTCAGTTCTTAAGCATTATCTCCCTAGGTAATAGCCAATAGTTACACATTGTTGTTGTTGTTTTAAAGAAATAGTGTGCAAATATAAAAGAATACAAATGTTTTTGTATGCATTTATGTGTGTTTATACATATTTATAAGTAAATATCTGCACATGTACATTTGTCATAAATTACTTTACACAATGGGAACACATGTCATAAATTGTTTTCCCTTAAGATATTTTACTCAATGATATGCCTTGGAGATTTTATTATATAATCATCTATAGATCAACCTCAATCTTTTTAATAGTACAGAATATTTTATTTGAAAGCTAATTTATTTATTGAGCCCTTCATTAATGGATATTTATTTTTACCTTTGCTATTACACACAATGCTACTATAACTATTCTTGTGTAAAGGACTTGGCACAGATGTGAAAATATTCATATAATGTAAATTCCTATTAGGTCAAAAGTCTTGTGAATTTTAACTAATAGATGTTGTCAAATTGCCTTCTACACAGATAACACCAATTTATACTCTATACGTTATTATGAAGTGTATTATAGAGTGTATTACAGTATTTACACTTTATACAAAGTATACAAGTATCCTTTTCCACATATCTTCACCAATATCACACACTATGAATCTTCTCTTGCTTTGCCAGTGAGATAAAGGAAAACAACTCATTTTTGTTTTAATTTCCATCGCTAGAAATTGAAGGAAGCTGAGGATGTTTTTCTTATGTTAGAAAGCCCTTTTATTTATTTTTCTGTGACCTGCCTATTCACGACAATGACCTATATTTTTTTCTATTGGGACATTGATTTTTTTCTTATTGATTTGTAAGAGTTCTTCATCTATAAAAGAATTTGTCCTCTGTTCTGCCTTATACTTTACAAATATTTTTTTCAGCTTGTCATAGCTCTCTTTATAGGCTATTTTTTTTTTTTTTACTTTCTTTGAATTTTGGGTTGTCAAATGTATCAGTCTTTCAAATCAACTTTCTACATTTATTTCTTTTTGCAAAGCCTTTTTCCACATTGAAATTTTAAAATATATTCCAAATTTTCTTCCAGTGTTTTTATAATTTCATTTTTTTAAATAGTTAAATTTGCATTTCATCTAGCATTTACCTTAAGTGAGGAAAAAGATATGCAATCAGCTTTATTTTTTTTTACCTAAATGGCAGGTTAGATTTCTCAGCAAAATTTGTTCAATATTCCATCTTGTCCTCTCTAACATATAACCTTTATCATGTGTATTTCTCTTTATTTCTGGAATCACCATTCCATTTATCTGTTTATTAAGGTACAAAGTGGTTTCCATTATTATAATATTTCATTATGTTTTCATATCTGATAGAATTAATTCTCTGTTCTTTTTAAGACTTTTTAAAGAATTTATGTTTATTTATGCATATTTATTTTTGTCTGCTTGCTTAATTAAAAAATCCTATTTATACTAGGATTCTCAAATATTAAATCAACTTTGAATTCTTAAGATAAACACATTTAGTCATGATGTTTTGTTCTTTTTACACATTGTTGGTTTCAGTGTGCTAATATTTTATTGAGTTTTGTGTCTATGTTCATGAGAGATATTGGTCTGTTATTTCACATTTGCAATATTTTATAAATATTGGGTAACATCATAATTCTTTGATTTTGTGTTAATTTTTGTAAATTTTATTTTTCAAGGAATTTGTTACACTTAGCAACATCGTGGTATTTGAAAATATAAACATGTTAATAACATTCTTTTTTTTACCACATTAATGTGTATAAGATATTTAGTGACATCCCTTTTCTTTCCTGATTTTGGTGATTTGTGGGTTTTTTTTTTTCTTTTTTTCCAATGGACTTTTCAATTTTTTTTGGTTTATAAGAACTTGCTTATAATTTTGTTAATTTTCACTCTCATTTGATTTTTATCTTGTTGATTTCTGCTCTTTGATTTATTTTTTTCCCCATTCTCATACTTACTTTTTGGCTTACCTTTTCTTTCTTTTTTTTTTTTTTTAAACTTCTTAATTTGAAACCCAAGGGTATCAATTTTAGCCCTTTCTTCTTTTCTGATATGAGTGGTTAAAGGTCTAGATTTTTTTCAAAGGACTGCCTACACTGGACCTCATAGATTTTGACATATTGTGCTTCTATTATCATTCAGCAAGAAGTAGTCTCTAATTTTTCTTGTGATTTCTTCTTTGAACCATGACTACTTTAGAAATTGTTTTGGCATTTTCCAAATATTTTGAGTCTTCTTAAGATTTTAATATATTTAATTTTAACTTAGAGAACATATGGCTTTGATTTTAATCTTTATAAATATATTGAGACTTCTTTTACTGACTGAACAGTAGTACAACTTTGTGAATGATCTTGTTCATTGGAAAAAAATTCTGTATGTAGTTTTCTATAAATATCATTTAGTTCATTATATTTGACAGCATTGTTTAGGTTATCTATATTTTTACAGATTTTTGTCTAGCTTTTTATTGGTTATTGAGAAAAGAATGGTGAAATCTATCATCATGGGGTTTTCTTGTTGCTTCTTTAATTTTATTATTCTTTGCTTCATGTATTTTGAGAGTCTTTTATTAAGTACATATACATTTATAATTAATATGACTTCCTGAAAAATTGAGCTTTTTTTATTATGAAATGTTTGTTCCTCTTTATCTCTACCAGCATTCTATGTGTTGAAGTTTATTTTTATATTTAATTTTATTATATCCACTCCATCATTTTAATACTTTTTTTGCATAGTAAATCTTTTTTAAATCCACTTACTCTCTACATCTTTGTACTCCAGCTACATTTCTTTCTTTTTTTTTTTTTAAGATTTTATTTATTTATTTAACACAGAGGGAGGAGAGAGAGAGTACAAGCAGGGAGAATAGCAGGCAGAGCAGGAAGAGGGAGAAGCAGGCTCCCCACCCAGCAAGGAGCCCAATGAGGGACTTGATCTCAGGACCTCAGGATCTCAGGATCATGACCTAAGCTGAAGGCAGCTGCTTAATTGACTGAGCCACCCAGGTGTCCCCAAACCTAATTTCTTATAGAGATCACATGATTGAATCATGCTTTTAATCCATTCTGATAATCTCTGCCTTTTAATTGGAGTGTTAATCCTTTTACATTTTATATAATTTTAATTTGATTGAAGTTGAGTCTACCTATTACTTGTTTTCTGTTTCCCCTTTCTAGTTTTTATTCCTTTATCCTCTTTTCAAGTCTTTTTAATTATTTAAATCTTCCTAATTCAATTTTAATATTTCTGTTGGCTTTTTAGCTATAACATTTATGTCATTTTGTGATTACTTTAGGCAGAATTTCCTAACATCAGCACTATTTACATTTTGGACAGGACAATTCTTTGGTGTGGAAAGCTGTTCTGTGCATTGTAGGATGTTTAGCAGTAACTCTGGCTTATACCCACTAGATGACAGTAGTACCCTGCTTCTGTTATGACAATCAAAAAATGTCCCCAGACATTGCCAATGTACCCTAAGGGCAAAATCACTCCATATTGAGAACCATTCCTGAAGGAATTATAATGTAAGTATTTAATTTTTCACAGTCTACTTAGAGTTAAATTTTTAATGCTGTATTTCAAACATAGAAACCTTGTAAACATTTTGTTCTAGGAATGTAAGTGTTGGATATGGTATGATAAAGTTGGTGTGGTCACAGGCGAAAATGAGAAAGCACCTTAGAAGAAAGAAGT